ATATCTACTTTAGAAAATGAGCATATGTTGTGTGGACACCACAAGATAGGACAGTTAACAATTCTGACTCATAACTAACAGGTGTTAACTTTTCCCTTGGGTTGAACCATATACTCAGTGTAGGACTTAAGGCGCGAGGACCGCCTTGAATATATCTGTTATGTTTGTATAAAACTCTCCCGGCCCAAGCAAACGTGTGGCATATAGTGTTATTTTTCTGAAATAAACTTTTAAACTTACATATACTGATTAGATGTAAGTTTACTAGTATATTATATTACCCTTGTACATGATACATCAATTTTTATTATATAAACTTTTCTTATTAGAAAATCTGAAAATAATACCCGTTTTCAGAATTTTTATTTCTGGAAAATCAATTGTTAACACCTGAGCAAAATCGAAACTTTGAGAAAAATGTTACCATATTCACTAAGTTTAAATTATTTTCTGTCTGTTACATAACAAATAGATAAATAAAAAGCTGGTGGCGAATTGAAGTATTAGCTTATTTTGAAGACTTATAACGCTAAAATAGGAGCTCGATTCCCCGCTGCGGACAGAGAGCATATAGTCAGCCCATTGTATAACTTTACTCTAGAACAATAACAACTTTGTTTAAAAACAAAAGTGATGTTGTTCTTATTAGTAACTGTTATCAAATATAACCTACTTTTTGGCATTATCAAACGATTATTATTACTTTTCTACTACGACAAGATAATCAACAAAATAATTACATTCTCCATTAAGTGAAAACGTACGGTACTTGGTTTGTTTTCTAGTGCCATGGTTATATCTAAGTATGTACAGTGTGTTGCAAAAGTATTCACTCCCCTACCAGTAATGTCACGTTTGGATGAAATACAAATAATGTAAACAATTTTTTTAATGAACTTGTTTTTATTCAAACTCTAATGATCAAACTTAACGCTGTTCTGTGTGAAGGAGGCTGAATGTTGGTAAAACCTGCAAATAAAATATATAAATTGAAATTTGCTGATTGGATAAGTATTCAGCCCCCTACATCAGTATTTGGTGGAAGAACCTTTGGCAGCAATTATTGCTGTTTGTCGTTTTGGATAAGTCTCTACCAGCTTTGCACAATGGAATGATGTAATTTTGCTCATTCTTCTTGGCAAAATTGCTCCAATTCTGACAGGTTCGTTGGGGATCGTTGATAGACTGCAATCTTCAAGTCTCGTCATAAGTTTTCTATTGAATTCAAGTGAGGACTTTGACTGGGCCACTTCAGGACATTCACTTTCTTCTTTTGAAACCACTCCAGTGTGGCTTTGGCCTTGTGTTTCGGGTTCTTGTCCTGCCGAAATGTGAATTTTCTATCTAGTTTTAGTTTCTTAGCTGACTCAAGCAGGTTTTTTTCTCTAGGATTTGCCTGTACTTTGCACCATCCATCTTCCCTTCAATCCTGACAGGCTTCCCAGTCTCTGCTGATGAAAAGCATCCCCGTAACATGATGCTGTCACCACCATGTTTGACAGTTGGGATGGTGTTGATTGGGTGATGTGCTATGGTGGGATTGGGCCGCAAGACGTAAGGCTTTGAATTTAGACCAAAAAGCTCAATTTTTGTCTCATTTGATCACAAAACCTTCTATCACATGTTTGCAGTATCATTTACATGCTTTGTCAAAAACTACACACGAGATTTAAGATGATTCTTTTTCAGTGATGGCTTCTTTCTTGCCACTCACCCATACAGGCCAGTTTTATGTAGGGACCGGGATATTGTCGATGTATAAATACTGACTCTCATCTCAGACATGGAACTTTGTAAATCTTTCAAAGTCACTATTGGCTTCACAGTGGCATCCTAACCAGTTTCCTGCTTCTCCGGCTGCTTAGTTTGGAAGGGTGGCCTGATCTGGGTAGTGACTGAGTGGAATGAAGCACATTCTACTTCTTAATGATGGATTTCACCGTACTCAAAGGGATAATCATCGACTTTGAAATTTTCTTGTAATCTTGTCCTGATCTGTTCTTCTCTACCACTTGTTTGCAAAGTTCCTTGAACTTCATGGTTGGTTTGTCGTATCACTATATGAGTTGTGGCTTGAACAAACGCATTTACTCTGAAGTCAAGTTAAACCACATTGATTACACTAATTTTGTCACCTTTCAAACAAATCTTTTGCACCTTAATTGATTTAGAGTTGCCGTAGCAAAGAGGCTGAATACTTATGCAATTGGGAATATTCTTATTTTCTTTGAAAATCTAACTTACTTACATAATATCAGCATTTTTTAGCTTTCTAAGTTTAAAGTAAATTGCGTAGATCCTAAATATAAAGTCCCATTTGAAAGTTTAATGATTGCAAGCTCAGACGAAAACAAAATGTGGAAACTTTGCAGGTGGGTGAATACTTTTGGAAGGCACACGCAACGGGTTTAATGGACTTTAGCTCCTACCTCTGAAATTTCAAAGGAGATATTTTTTCTACAATGCTTACGTTTCTTTACAACACAAGTTATTATGCCATGTGTTCACCATGGAACCCCACCCCACTCACGAAATGTCTCCTGGCTACGATACTTGTAGATAACATCTCACAAACAGATTCCAATCTTCCAATATAGATGGATCAAATATTAAGTTTTAGAAGATTATGTAAAGATCATTATGAACTTGCAGTTTACGTAACATTTTTCAAAACCATGAATATAATGTAGTTGATAAAAATTGAGTTAACCCTAGTCTTACAAATTGAAGGTAAAATAAAAATGAGCCGAGATGTATAATAAATTCACTGAATGGTATGTTGCAATTAACACGAACAAAAGCTTTCAAATTCAAGCTCATTAAACTTAAGTAAGTACATTTATTACGGTTAGTTAGATTGCTCTGACATTTAGATATGCGCCTGATAACAAGCAAGGTTTTTTCCAACTAATTGTACCAAGCTATACATGAAGAAATACAATATCTCCATCCGTCAATAGTTCTGTAATACAAAGTGCATACTAAAATATTACACTTTTTTTTTACTCTTTGATTAGTCAGTTTTTTACGTAGCTTTCGGCCATTCATCAAAATATTGTTGATCTCAATTCCCTTAAAGAAGTCCCTGAAGTAATACGTAACATGATTTACCCTCCGGTTTCTCCCCCTCCCCCGATCGAAATAACCTTGCTGTAAATATTTGGGTCAGCAATATTTCAAACATTTACTCGTGACTTTTTTATCTGTACTTGTAGGTGAAAACTAACCAATAGAACCCAAGCACAGAGAGAGAGAGAGAGAGTGATTACCAAACTTAAAGGTGGGGGCGGGAGGAGGGGGATAAACTTGTTTCTTGGAAAGTAAAACAGACTCATTCGAACTATTCATAAAATAGCCACTACAAAGAAAAATATTTTTTTTTGGCGGATTAGGCTCGTTAAAAAATTTATTTTTATTATTTTACGTACAAATATTTGCACTTCTGACTCATGAAGTAATAATAAAGAAAATCAAGACTAAGTAAAATTACAAGACTCTAAAGCATAAAATAAATATAACTACATGTGTATTCTAATTCTCTGCTTGGAGTCAACAGATACAAACTGGTTCTCGGAGAGTAATAATACCTGTGTTTTACTTTCGATGATATAACATATGTTTATTGTTAAGCGTACACTAGAAAAATGGTCTATCTAAGGAATGCGGGTAATCAACAGTATCCATTACCACCTCTTGGTAGAGGAGCTACGTCATATAGATAGGGACACCCCTGGGCCATTCTGTGTCCCCCTGCCAAGTTTGGTTCTGCTAGCTCCAAAACTGTGAAAGGAGTTCGCGTGTAAACAAACAAACAAGCTCATACAACGCGTGAAATAATATAAGATACTTAATTCTTAATATTATTACAGACTTTTTAAAAGTGGATAAATGGGATTTTCCTCTGTACGAGCTCATTCAATTAACTAGACAGGCGTAAAGCTATTCTCGTATCGTTGTTTGTCAAGCTTGACCAACCGGTGATTAGAGGTGACGGCGAGGTCAGAAACCTCATATCTTGAAGGAAGATCGTGCAGCTTTTCTCACGGAAATTTGTAGCCCAAGGAGATTTAGAGTTGACCTTTTGTTAAGATTGTATCCTTCTGACCTCTTCCCAGAAATTAAGACAACATTCAATTTACTTAAGCTACACTTAATATTATATATCAATATTTTAGCATTTTTATGCACACTGATGTGGTGTATAGACACACTATTACCTTCACACAGAATATCCGTCTGTATTCTTATAAGTTACACAGAAATAATCTGGCCCGGCAAGGCCAGGTGCTTAGGGCGCTTGACTCGCAATCTGAGGGTCGCGGGTTCGAATCCATGTCCCACCAAGCATGCTCGCCCTTTCAGCCGTGGGGACGTTATAATGTGACAGCCATTTCCACTATTCGTTGGTAAAAGAGTAGCCCAAGATTTGGCGGTGAGTGGTGATGACTAGCAGCCTTTCCTCTAGTCTTTCACTGCTAAATTAGGGACGGCTAGCGCAGATAGTCCTCCCTCGTGTAGCTTTGCGCGAAATTCAGAAAACAAACAAACAAGACATCAAGCCGATAAAACAAAGTTCCTGTGTTTACAATTTGAGGAAGGTACAATATACAGTAAGAGAGAAAAGCAAGGCACACGTGCAAAAAGCATTAACAAATATGAAAGCGATGATTTAGGAAAGAAAGTTATAGATAATGTTATAAGTTATAACAATGAAATATTATTGAAATACTCTGCTGACAATTTTCTCATTGTTTGAAATATACGCATAAAAATTTAGTCTCAAATAAGAACTTTTGTTCAAGTATCGCTGTTCTTATGATGTTGTACCAAAATTAATTTAAAAATATGTCGTTAATGAGAAGTATTTTTCACACTTTTTGCCAGGGGCGTGATTTTCGTATTCAAAGAGACTGATCGTTTACGTAGGATATATTTGTGATGCTACAAAATATTACACACCTATAGTACAATTACCATAGAAACACTTTATTCATTCTCACCTTATGAGGATAAGCAAGATGCCATGTTAAGTTGATTTTCGCCCCTGCTGGTAGTGTAGTAATAATGTCACCTATTGGAGAAAAACAAAAGTTAGGAAGATGCCAATTTTTCAGTAACAGAAAAACTTAAAACAACGTTGAAACATACAAATGTAATATCGGAAGTGACTTGTAATATAAATAATGTCTCTCACTGATGGAAAAAAAAACAAAACAAAAAAAAACGAACAAATATTCTGTGGCGTTACAAAAACTGTTTGCTAAATAATTGTCAATTTCAAAATCTGATTCGTATAAGTTTACAGATAAAAAAGTGGATACGTATTTTGAAATTAACTTGTATTCTTCAAAACTAATACATTGCTGGAAAGGTTATATTTTAAAGTTAACTTGTATTATTCAAAACTAATACATTGTTGGAAAGGTTATATTTTAAAGTTAACTTGTATTCTTCAAAACTAATACATTGTTGGAAAGGTTATATTTTAAAGTTAACTTGTATTCTTCAAAA